AAAAAAAAAAAATTTCTGGCAAGAGTAGCTAAAATCTACTCATTTAGCATGAATCCCGAATATACTATTACCTATAGTCCTTATGTTGTACATTTGACTTAATAAGCTATTTTAATGATGTTTGCCTACTCTGATCAGGTTGTACTTTAGATCTAATAAACTATTTTAATATGCTCTGACTATAAGTATGGTCAAGGGTAACTCTTGGTCCTCAGTTGTCTCAATGAGGATATATTGGAAATAAATTATAGTAGATCATTGGAAATGCTGTATCAACAATTAGGAGGAATATATGCAAAGGTTGGTACGTCAGTTAATTTTCTTCAAGACTAATATTCTCATGTGTCAACTGGTTAATATAACATTGCTCAATATACCTGTGAAGGCCATTGCTAGGCTCAAATGAGGATAATACATATAGCTTGAATATTATGAATGATAATTATTAATCAACCATAACAGATGTTCTCAACAAGATGAAATGAAACCTAAGAATCCTAAACACAGAGGCTTAGGCTCCAATTACCAAATTATTGCAGTAGGCACAAAGTTCAACTTCTATAAACAAATTTTGGGCAGAGTCAGTTAATATGAGAACATTAGAATTTTATTTTCAAGGGACAATGAAAGAAAGTTGCAGCCACAAGGAAAACTAACAAACCGTCTGGGGGACCCCTTGTAAGTATCATTCATTTTTATAATAATTCAGAAGAAATGCTATTAGAGGACATTAATACTGTTAAAAAATAAATCTCATTTAATAATCCAAATTATTCTCAATTGAAGCTATTGAATGTTGGAATAAAAAGTCTTACCCATAACATTGAAAACATAATTTTTAATTTACTTCTGAACATATGTAATTATTCTGAATAATAATAATGGATATCTTGTGATGACTTTCCTGTGTCTCAAAGAAAAATGTCTTAATTATATTTAATGTATTCAAGTTAAGGAGGTAAGGAGAACTATTTTCTATTTCAGAGTGCTTTATGTCATGACCACATACATATAGCATTTAAAGTTTGCCTTCCAAAACTTATGTTCTGAGGAATAGCCCCTTAGATAACATGCACTGATGTCAACATCTCTGGCTTACTTTGATAGATTGACTGTGGTGAGTTCCGTGACCCCAAGATCTATTGCACTCGGGAATCTAACCCCCTCTGTGGCTCTGATAGACAGACATATGGCAATAAGTGTGCCTTCTGTAAGGCAGTGATGTAAGTATTATACTCACCAAAGTTGTCCTTTGCAAACACAAATTTCCATAATGGGACTAATACACTTAACTCGAGATATTCTAGAGTGTTCTCCCTACACATCCCCAGAGAAGCTAAACAAATAAGCTTTAGACAAATGAACTGAAAACA